TTCGATCGCTGCGAGAACCCAAGCTCAGTCGCCTCAGGTAGTCAAAGGTCTGGAAAGTCACCAGCCTGGCACTGGCAAGAGATCTAAAAAGGGCAGCGAAATGCACGGGCAAACAGAGGCCTGCTGCTCAGCATGCCCTGGAGGATGTCCTCTCGGACGGGCAAGCAGCTCATCACCTGCAGGCCAACAAGGCAAGCGATGTTTGTGCGCTTGTCCTGGCCTGCTCTTATCTCTTTTTCGGTCCACATACTGTGCAGTCTTCCCTCTTCAACTGCTTGCACTGCGTCGGCAAACTGCTCCCCTTTGCTTGACTGCTATGATCCAGCTTAGAGAGTAAGTTGTGAGATTCCTGACGTTCCCCTCTCTTTGCCTGTGCCGTCCGACACAATACCCGCTGCCAGCGTGCTTCTCTCGATCTCTCCCCTGTCCCTGCTTGGTCGTCTGTTTCTGTCGTATGCACGTACCCCTTCGCAATGTCCCACCTCGGTGCTAGGAAAGGCACAGTGGAGAAAAAGACCAGTGGTGAAGTCTGGATTGCCTCAGTTTCACGGAATGCAGGCAATGAGCAAGAAGTGCAAAAAAGGCCGTGGCGAGAATCGCAGCCTGTACAGAGTTGAGCGACGGCGGCAGCATGCTGCAGCAAAGCCACGGTGGTAGACGAAGCGGGGGACCATCACCTTACGAGAGATCCCAAGGACACGCCGTCCTTCTGCATTGACTTGAGGGGTCTCGGGTCGAAGTTCCGTCCAATCAAGTGTGTGCTCACACACAAGCAGTCGGTAAGATTCGCACAGCCCGGGGTTTGCAAGTAATTTGGGAAGATCTGCTCTGTTTTGAAACTTGGGTTGGTCAACCACCGCATAGCGACGCATGGTCTCAATGGCGTTGTTGTCAGTCTTGAAGCCTGGTGTGCAGGCGAAGGCTCGAGCTCGTAGTCGTGGATCCAAACAAGCGTGTTCTCATCACCTCAGAAGAGCAGCTAACGGCTCGTTGGTTTGCTCGAGAGGGCAGGCTGTGCATCGATGTCAGCAGCCAGAGGCATGCCTTCGAAGCACTCAGGTCAAGGGTTGTCTCTTGCCTCTCTGCCAGAATGTGGAAGTGCTTGCCAGCAAAACAGTTCGTGGTACTATAGCAGACCTCTGAAGCTCTGATTTGTCTTGCCCAAATCTGCATGGCTGTGGCCAAGAGTCCGTGCGTGGTAATCACCTCCGCGTACGCGTTGTTCAGGTTTAGGAAACTCTTCCAAAGTGCCTTGTCGAAGGACTCGTACTCCTCAGAGCCAGAAGACTTAATCCTTTCACGGAGAGGCTTGTGGAACTCCAAGCAGGCCCGTGTGCTACTATTGCTGCATAGTGACAGCGCAAACTACACTTCCTGGAAAACTGAATTGCCCAGGTCGTACTCCGACATTTTGCTGCGGCGGTTCATACCCCGCTGGTGCTGGAAAGCCGCATGGTCACCGGTGATGGTCGCATCGAAAATCTTCATGTTGTGAAAAACGGGCCACAAATAGTCTTCCTGAGGCTGAGCCGAGCTTCAACCGTAAGCCCAGTAAACCGCGGCGGTATGCCATTCTCGATTGGCCCCACGGCATGCAGGCGTGCATGCACTCGAAGACATGATTCATGCCAACCAGGAAACAGATGGAGACAAAGCAAGAGAGAGAGACAGAGAGGGATCGAGAAATTGCAAAAAACGCAAGCAACTATCAACAACTGATGAGAAGCGGTGATCCCTTGCTGCTGGCATGGCTAGTACTGTAGTGGCCGAGGGCTGAGGTCTGGACAAGCGCAAGGCCCTACCGCCCAGCCTCCCTTCGCTGAGACTGGCCCTGAGATCGGATGAAGCACTTGCAAATACAAAGTTGCTGACGCGGATCTGCGAAGAAGTTGTGCTTTTGCACGACATCCTGGAGGAGACATGTGCCATCCCCACGACCATCTTTTGGATGTCAGGCTTTGTGATTCCGTTGACACCTCGTATGACTGCCAACCCATAACTTTCACGGACCTGCCTGCATTTGTGAGGCTCAGCGCAAGGCCAAGCCTTCCTGAAGCCCTAAATCAAAGAAAGGCGTTAAAGCTCCAAACTCGGCTCAACTGAGCTCCTCGTCGAGAAAAACCGGGATGCAGGAATGCTTTGCCAGGAGGTCTGTGAGCTGTTTCCTGTGTCTGAGTGTGGGGCGTTCAGAAAACCCAAGGTTCTGTATTTAGGGAGGGAAACCCGGTTGGCCCCCTCTTTGGTTCAGAGGAGTAAGTATGTCGAATGCTTGTAGATGGTACGAACTGAAAACGCTGCAAACACCGATCTGGGCAAGTGGTGGTATTTGTATGTCGTACACGTACGTGTGTGGCCCCAAAGCCAGATGTCCAATTTCATGGTAGCTTCTCTTCGTACGACAAGAGGTGTAGTTTCATGCTGAACAGCGCATTTGCGGATGGAAAGGCAAGATCGTCAAGGAAGCACGGCTAAGAGGAGAGACAACATCAAGCATTATGTCGATCGCATATAGGTGGCGAATACATCTGATAGCACCTAGCTCATTTCTCAACCACAAGTACCTCCCACTCAATTGATATCTGCTGCGTGCTTGTGTACTTGCCTGGCTTAGGTACTGTTCGTGTAGCTCAACAACAGTGTAACAATCTGTTTCTATGTTTTAAGTTAGTATGCAACTCGTATTTGTTTAAACATCTACTTGATATCTAACGAATCTAAACAAATGGTCCATTTTGTTTTTGATAACTGCACCATCTTAACATTCTCCACAATTAACAAGCAATCCGGTAGTACACGCTTAAAGCTTGACAATATTGCCGTAAGTTCAATCCTACTCATCGCAGGCAGTTGTTCAGGCAATGGAATGCACATGCAGTTGAAACCCAAGAACAAGATCAACCACGTGTAACCGATATTGCACCGCCGGTAAGAACCTACTCAGTGCACGGCAAGTGCCATTCCTGTGCCATGACGAATGTCTAAGGTGATATATTTCACATGTTTGGTCTGAGCGGTAAGTAGTATGTAGGCGATGATTCGCCTGTTTCGTAGTTATCGTTATCTCCTGCATAATGAAACAATGGAGACTCAACATGCCCAGAAAAGAAAACACGCTTGTCTATTACGTCTTCAAAGTTTCGTATCTTGAAAAGAAAGACCCCTACTTTATATTGCGCTAATAGTTAGTTATGATACATGTGTCAGTGGTGGTTAGTTTTGTTTACGCACGCTGAATTTTGGTGAAAAAAGAAGGGGTCCAGCAAATGCTACGTGAGAACTAATTAATTGATTAATCATCGATTCCGCATCAAATTATGTTGTGCATTATTGCCGTTTAGCAAGTGCGGCACGTACTAAAGATATACTAAATGTTTGATTTGTGTGAGCACATAGTGACACGGTATCCGAATGCTTGAAACTGTTATGTAGATGCATCGACTATAGGTCGAATATATGAGCCACGTGCTAACATCATGACGTATGCAGACTACTTGTTGGTCGTGTACTCTGGTTGAATATACATATACATCTGTGTAGATATGTAAAAAGCAGGTCATATCATAGTTCGATATCACCTGGTTGTCCATCTAAGAACTAAGACTTAGACGAAGAGTAGATACATGCATCCAGGATATGATTGAGTATCAGATATTAGCTAACAGCAAGAACTTGCATAACAACTGGGTTTGCGATGTTTTTAAAACGACTTGCGCTGCATTGAAATCAATTACGGGTGTGCGCACGTATGGGCAATAGAACCCAACAATTAAAACAAAAGCATCAACCAAACCAACAAACGCAATAACAAACCACTTTTCTAGGAGACTAGTCTGTAAGGTTGTTGCTTTTGTTTGTTTTCTGCCGTTGCTTTTTGTTGGTGTCTTGCAGGCTCTTATCAACCAACTAACTTGTTGTCCTTTGCTACGACCCCCCCTCCCCTTTCAAACCACATGCGTAAAGGCTTTGTTTAAAACGTGCTTGCGCACGAACCAAAAGCGGGAATCGCGCAACCGTCTGTCACATATGACAGGAACTTGCGGGCCACCACGGTTTGCCTCTCTGCTTATTCGAAGGGGTCCTTAGAGGAAGGATCCACGTTTCTATGGGGCTCCCTTGTCTGTTCGACTGTCGTCAGCTTGAGTGGTGCGGTGTCCATTCTGCAGCCGGGCCTGTCCGCATCATCTCTGACACATACACCTGCAAGGCTGACAGAATGTGAAAGCGCAAGGATCAAATTGAGTCAGCTTCGACACCACCCGCATGCTGACCTAGGGGGAGAAGATTTCGCCTAGTCTTTTGGCAAACGTTCTAGTTCCAAATCATATTTGCAGTTCCTCCTCCTTCAGTATCAGATTGATGTGCCTCTGAAACGTCTTGCTGTTGCAGCAACTTGGTAACTACAGCTGCCTACTTGCGCCCGTCCTGGGTGCCCGATGAACTTCACAGACACATCAATGGCTTCACCCGTCGGAGGCTTGTTGACCCCAGTCTGCCTGAGTATTGGCCGTTGGTGCTCTCTTTACTCACGATTGTACGAAAAGTCCTGCGACAGCCGTACTCATGCACTGAGCGGAGACTCTCAGAACTCGGCCAGCACCTGTGCGCCGGTATCTCGAAAGTTGACAACTCCGACAACGAGAGGTGGATTGCTACGTGCACCCTCACTCCGGCTCCAAGAGTTTGCATTCCAAGTCAGGAACCACCCAAACCAAAGTACCTGTAATCTGTAATCATCAACGGGGTACTAGCAAGCCATTGCAACTCACTACTAGAAGTCCACGTCACGAATGTAAATTGCTGTTTGAGAAGCGTGAAGTGCTTCAGCAGGGGCAAAGCAGTTCCGGCTCCATGGCTAATCTTTTCAACCTCGGTTTTGAAAGGCAAGCGGCTGTCTGCTGGCCCTCAAAATTTGACTCTTTGACGTTTTTGCCGCAATGATCTGCAATGGCAGTCGTCTTTTCACCGGAAATTGATCGTTTGCTTGAGCATGGCCAGCGAGCCGAGCGCAGCTTCTCCCATAATCCAGAAACATCGACACGTCATGTATTGAAGTTCGGGGCCAGGAACACAAAGACGAGTCCTGCAATCCCGCCATGCTTTGAACTTGTGCTGGCTGGAAAAAAGAACCTCTTAGCTTCTTAGCTGCAAAAACTGCCTTCGAGCGAGCGGTTGCGTTGCATTCGGGGGCAAATCTTTCAGGATAGTCGTGCGTCGCCTCCAGCAACAACACGCAGGCTTGCTTGGTTGTCGACTTCCGAAGGTGTAAAATCAATTAAGCTATGAGAAAGTGAGAAAGATCGGCAACAGAAGCTGAGAGATCACAAGGATGTAAACAAGAATGCAAAGGGAAAGTCAGTTTGCCTGAAGTCTCAGTCCGAATTCAGGCTGCAGGCCTGACAAACCTAAAAGCCATCAATCCCCCGAAGCCTTCACCCCAGCCATAGCCGTCGTGGCTTACTTCCAGCCTCACATACTTGAACCTCCAAGCTTGGGCAACCCCTCAATCCTTAACTCTGAAACATGGATCTCCACGCTTCTTGGCTAATCACACCGGCTTCGAATGGTATGCACTGGATTTATCAAGTCTGCAATTTGGGGCCAAAGTTTTCGATGCTAACTGGCCAAGCCACTTGCCAGTCCCCATTCTCGGCTCGCTTGACCACTACCTAAGTCGCATGCCAAGCTAAGCAGCAAACCAGGCAAAAGGAACTGTCCGGTCTTACACGGGCATAGCGTATGATTCTGTTCCATGTGTGGGCAAGCGATGCCTTACAGACGGCTTATGCCAGATCCTTGAACGAGGAAGCCTCGGAAAAGATGTGAACCACGAAACAAACAACATAACATACAGTGATGACAAGGCTAGACACTGTCACCAAGAGCAGTTATAGTGTTGCCTCACCCTGTCATCTCGCAGAACAAAACATGGCAACCACGATGCACGACGAGTGACCATGACATGAGCGCAATGAGCAATGAGATGCACATGAGGGTGCGTTCACTGAAGCCCCAGTGGCTGGCAGGCTTCGGAACACCAAGAAGGCGCTGTCCTCGCCTCAGCATCCCGTCACTGAAGGTGCATGCATGTCTTAAGACATCTTGCCACATTCCCTGTGCACATCAAGCCAGGGGGGTAAGGCAGCTCTTGGCCAATCATCGGGTGAAGTTTTCTGGAGCGGTGCAACCTGGATGTCTTGTGATGCCGAGGAGGCCGTAGCCCGACTGTGCGACAGAGTCTCTTGTGACGTCACACAGCTGCGTCAGGTCCTCAGTGTCAGGTACAAGCGAACTGCTGCTGTTGGTTTCTCATGCGTGGTTAGAGTTGTGACCGTTGGGAATGATCAAGTCATTTTTCCTGTGAGAAACCTGTGAGCGGGGAGAAATGATATCCGGTTGCTCAGGGTCTGTGAGAAAGCTGTGAGAAACCTGTGAGGGAAGGGATTCACCGGCCGGACCCAAACTCCAGCTGCTTACAGGTTTCTCACAGCCCGCTCACAGGTTTCTCACTGGGTCCGGCCGCCAAGCCTGGCTGCTGGGAATCCCCTAGACTAGGCTGCGAGAAACCTGTGAGAAACTTGTGAGAAACCTGTGAGGAAAGGGACTCACCAGCCGGCCCTCTCTAACCGTTAGAGAATTTCTCGGCTCAATGTTACATCACGGCAGCCCTGAAGGAGGGAACTGGCTGCAACTCGCGCAAAGCAGCAGAACCGAACTAAAGGGTCTGCCGACTTTTTTGAGGCATCATCAGAGTTGCTGCATGGTTTAGATGATCGCAGTTTGCCATATGCCGGATCTCGCAACTTGCAGAGTCCTCGACTGGTCTGAGCCAGGGATCCATGGACTTTGAACGCACGTTCCAGCAGCTTCCAGATCGCGGGGATGCTGGGCTTCTCGGGCTTGTTGGCTGGCTCCTCGGCCCAACGGAGAGAGTCTCCAATTGCGCATCCCTAGTGCTCAGAATTATCCGAGCTGTCTCGAGGAGCATAGCGGCAGAGTGACCTCATCGAACGCGAAGCCGAAAGTACAGCAGAGCAGGCAGTCCGAGAAGTTCCCTGTAAAGCCTCCAATATACCCGCTGTGCCTTCATGCGAAAACCTGAAGGCCGGGAGGTGTCTCGACAAGCGTCCCATGGTAGCCCGAGGGACTGGGAGGTCGGCTGCCCGAGTTCCTTAGGCGTTGCGCAGCACTGTAGAACAGTCTTTCGAGGTACTTGTGAACTTGTAAGCTCTATATATGTATGTATGTAGTATGTATGTATGTATGTATGTATGTAGGTATGTATGTACAAATATACACATGATTGGTCGTCGACACAAACTCGCCAAGGCACGCTTCTGCGGCCAGGGATGCTCCCCGAGAGGCGACCGTCGACATCTGCGGCTTGGAGAGACTTCGATGCCGTGCGCTGGGCCGCGACGCTGCTTTGGGGCGTGTCCCTCCTTCCACTGCTTTCCGTGACCTGCTACTGTAATTTCCAGTCTTTCAATCCGTTCTAGGTTCCAACTTAATCAACACCGGCAAAACCTCTCACAGAACACAAGAACCTTTCCAAAGATGCACTCCGTTGGAATTCCGAAAGCTGCACGTCGGCTTCCCTGCCTGCCCTGCTTCGTCGTCGCCTGTGGCACGGCAGCGGCCGTTGTCGTCTTCCAGACACAGCGTGCGACCTCCGACAGGCAAAGCACAAAAACAGAAAAGAGAGGGCCTAGTGCAGAGGGCGTCTCCCATCCGTGCAAAGCCCATCAGGTCTGCAAGACTCAGGCTTCGATGTGAGAGGGCTCGTGAGAAATAGCGTAGTGCAGGTTGCAAGCAGTGTGTGTCTGTATGCATATACGATACAGACGTGAATAATGAATGGTAGGAGTTACAGCGATGGCAATGGGACTAGCGCAGCAAGCAGCGTCTGTGGAGCAACGAGATAGCAGAAAGAAAAGGGCGCACAGCAAAGCGGAGAAGGATTTCAAGCGCACCAAGCAGTTGCAACGAACAACGGTGCAGATCGCCGAAATTCCAGGCAAGCTTGAAGTAGAAGGCATATATCGGAAGACAACAATCATGAGGAGTTTCGGTTAGACTTTCAGCCGCCACAGAGAAGCAAATCACACATGACAAAACACGACAACTGCACAACTGTAGTATCCCGACATTTTGGAACCCGTAAATCCCAAACAGACACCGGCTGCCAGCGGCCTGTCGCCACCGCGAAGAGCGGCTCCTCTCCCTCCTTCAGTTCAGGATGGTGGTCGTTAATTGTGTGCCGCTCGTAGGGTGAAGTGTCACGACGTTAGCTCAACTTTGTGTATACAGTTCTCGTCTGTCGTCCCCGAAGGACGAGCTCCTTCGTCCACCGGATGAAGTCATCGGTTTCGGAATGGAAGATGGCATAGCGGTACCTGCTCTCGGCCCGGAGTTGCCGTCTGCGACAGCGCCAACGAGAAGACGTAAGTCTATAGAGCTTCCTATGGCAACAGCTATTCATGCTTGCCGTCCTGCGGCAGATCAGGGTTGCCTCGAGCACAGAACCCTGCCAAGTGGCTCGAAGTGCTGCTTCAAAGGGATCCTTGGACGTCTGCAGGAGAGTCTGGAGGTTTCTGCGAAAATGATACAGCTGAAGTCTGGTTGCGGCATTTCTCGGAGCAGTTGCCTCGTGAATCTACCTCGCATCTTGGCATCGCCTCCCCATGTGTGATACGCTTGGATCTGAAGGCCACGCCAAAAGCTTCTAGCCTGGGGCTTCCTTCAATTCAATCAGATGGTATCGGCATGTACAGGTAGATCCAAGTATGATCGGTGCGTCACGCATGCAAGCCTAAGGCATCAAGGTACAGTAGGTTAAAGGCTTCACTTGGCTGGAGGATACCTTTCGAAGTTTGAGTCATACATTCCAAAGAGAGCGAGCTTCCTCACGCTGTGCGTGGTCCACCAGCATCCCTTGCACCTGACATGATGTCTCAAGCTGCAGGCCAGTTCAGTGCAGTTGCGAGACTACCAGCACAATTGCACTCGCAGCTCGAGGTAGACGAAAACGATACCCGAGCTCAAACCATGGCACATCGCTTGCATTTGGTTGACTTCACTCAGGAGTTTGATGTTTAGAACTGTGGCACAGTGTGCCTGCGAAGCACCACAGCCGATACCCAGACTACAAGTAAGTATCTCTGCTATGGACACTTTCAATCACAACTGCCAAGGGACTATGCCTGTGCGGGGCTCGCTCTTATGCCAAGTCAAGCTCCGAATATAACATGGGCAGCGGGTACCCTAGACTCAAGCCCCTGGGAGCCTTAGCTAGCGAAGCCTCCCAGGCCCAGGAAGCTGAGTTAGCATTTGATTTACTGGCAAAGCAACTGGGGCCACGGGCTGCTCCACGCGACTCAAAGGCACAGCCGAGCCCAGATCCCAGCTGCCGAGCTCGGTGCCTCGGCTGAAACGCACGGGGCCAAACTTCCTGGCGCGCGCCTTTGCTGACGCAGCTCTTGGGCCTCTACCCGTTCCATTTAGAAGGTGTGCCCTTGTTTAGCAAGGCGGCAGGATGCAATCCGTAACATTGCTATATAATCACCGCTAAAGAACGAAAGCACATCGGTGACTGTCTTTTTCCGGTGACTTCAAGGGGCTCACGCGGTGTTAGGCTATGAACATTAGATGGAATCTGCTCTGAGAATGCGCGTTGGAAGGTAGGCCCAGTCGCAGCTGCCCAAGACTCGAACGCTTTCGTGTGGTCCAACCTAGGCAAAGCCAGGGCGGCTTCACATACCCTGCATTCTGCACATTCGCATCCCCATCTGTCCGAATGGACCGCGAAGTCAATACAAGTAGCAGCTGGGAACTGAACTTTGAACCCTTCTGCATCGAGAGCATCGACAGAGTGCTCTAGACCGGAATTCATCGTCCCGGCAATGCTGTTGGCGTGGCCCTTCTGCCCTTCTGCCTGGTTTGTTACCTTCTTCAAACAACCTCGGAACATGCAGCCTGCTTCACACCATTGCATGTTCTATGTGTTCTGTGTACGGCGGGACGGATGGACGGAAATACATAGCCGAGGGGCTGGTGCGGCATCCCAGAAGCGGAAGAATACTCGTGTTCTCGCCTGGACAAAGCGCGTCTCGGATGTCCTGCTCCCCCTACCTGTCAGACTCAATGCACGTGTCGCACCAACTGTTTGCAGGCAAGCTGCGGCAGGTGGCGCCGCTTGGCCCCCCGCCATCGGACTCGAATTGAAACCGACAGGCCTACCTTGCTTGACGTACTCTCGTCCTGAACGATAGTGCTGGATTCAGCTAAACTGCCGATGGATACTTCTTTCAAGCTAAGTGAATCTGGGCGATGCTTCTGTGAAGTCACTTGCAAAAGAAGTCGAATGGATGGCATCTCGAACAAGTTTGTCTCGTCATCGGCTAAGTGCCGTCTGTGAGCTCTTCAACGCACGCAGGCGGGCGAGAGCTTTAGCGACAGCCGCAAGCATACTTGGCCATTTAATGTCAGGAGACATATGCATGTAGGAAAACAGCCGACAACAACTGCCTGGAAATAAGATTGCTTTGAACTCGTCCCTTCCTTCTACCACGATGCCCTCCCGAGAACGCAACCTGTCCAGAGGTGAGAGGTTTCGCAGCCTGGGTGAACAGTTGATGTGGCGGTCCAGCACCCCTAAACAGAACAATGCGGCATTCATCTTTAAAAGTGGAAACCCCACTCCTTACATCTCAACATGCCAGCGACGTGCTCCCTTACCCAGCCAAAAGGCTGAATCATCACAAGCCATTGAACCGAGTTCATATAATCGGCTGTGTAGCCGAGAAATTGGGTGTCCAGGATGTCTGAATAACGCACGCACACACCACGCGATGATATGTAACACACTGCACTACTCTTCCACTGCACACGACACTACGAGTACACTCGCTACAATACCAGGCACTGCGAAACGAAATTAGACGGGTGCTCCAAAAGCTGTACAGGGTGCCGTACAGCTGCTGTGAGCATCGTGGTGTATGCAAAAGGGCTTATGCTGTGTCACCACACTAACTTCGCTCCAGCATGCGACGTTTGGTCTCCCTGTGCATCTACAGGGCAAACAGAGATGCTGTGTTGCAAAAAGCGGAAGTGATTGCAAAGCACGGCTTTATTCACGTGTCGCTGCGTAACTGGCAAAAGTTCACATCCTATGGCGAGTGTCCTTTGCCCTTCATCAACTAGATGATGGGCCTGCAGGCACACGCTACATATGGCAACCCAATGCCGGAGCCTCTGCGACAGTAGTTTAAGGGCTGCGTGCGGCCAAGCGAAGACTTCTGAAGTCAGCCGGGGTACGCCTCCTCATGGTCCTCCCTCGTCGCAGGCAATGTGAGACGGCTGGTCAGGGCCTCCGTAGCTTCCCGGCACAGATACAGTAGTCTGCCCTGAGGAACAAGCCTCGACTTCTGCGGGTGGCGGGAGCATGGGCTCCTGCCATGTGCTCGAGTGGTACTGCTGAGTAGAATGTCATACGCAGCTCCAACTTTCTCCGCCTCTGGCATCCAAATCAGCCACGGGTTTGCTTCACAGGGGGAAGTGTGCAAGTATACAAATCCCAAGATGTCCCGAAAGACTCCTGACCCCGTCAGACTGCTATCACAACACCGCAGCGACCCCTGCGTTGCGGCTCCTGCGCTCTCGGCCTTAGATTCGAACTGCTAGAGCACACCGAAGCGTGGGTTCAGGATTTGGAATATTCACCATGGCCCCGATCGCAATCCGCTATATTGGCCGGGCGGACAACCCGCTTGCAGCACAGAATATCCCGCCTGCAGCACAGACTATATTCATTGCGTCTGCCATGTGGCTCCTCACAGCGTATTATGTCATTGGCGGGCGGTTTCATATTATCGGTGACACCACTGCGACTCTTGACCACATCAAGGCTCGTGATGCCGTGACGGTGCACCACTGCCCAGACTCAAGGGTCCCCGGCTGGCTGCCTCTGATCGGCTTCAACCTGGGCTTAGCTACTCGATTCTCTTGCAGAAGTCCTTAGACTACCAGCACCCATAGCAATGCCGAGTGCCTCACCCGAGCGATGTGCAGAGCGTGGGCGTTGCAAGCGGACTGCCAAGCAAAAGCTCTGAAACAATCCAAACATGGTAAAGTGCTGACCAGATGAAGGATGCACAGGACGTCAGCAAAGGAATGCCCCCTGTTTTGGAACCCGATCCTGCGCTTCTGGCGACCTCCGTAGGACAACACCTGGGCTTCGGCACAAAAGCGGAGTGTCGAAACTGCTGGACGTCGTTCCATCAGAACTCCTTAAATGACATTGTACATGCCTCTAACTCTGGCCTCTTTCGGGTCTTAGAGATCATGTTGGGGATGCGGCGTCACCGCACGGCGAAGGTTTCGGCCTTGGCAGGCACGTTAGTGGAAGTCCAGAGATCGTGCGTGGCGATGATGATGCTGTGCCAGCCCAGCATGCTTTGAGCACTTTAGCTCTAGCTGCATGGCTGGTGATTTCGCAAGCCCTG